GGGCACAAATTTGCATGGGAAAACACTCGCACTGCTGGCGCCTGCCCCATAAGGAAGGGCCGCGAATTTCTGGAGGCAATGCACTCAGATGAGGCATGCATCAACCGGCACATCGATCTAGATGCCACATACAAAATCATTAAGGACAGATTCAAACTGACTCAACCAATCCCGAGAAGATGACTTTAACCAATCATAGAATCCTTTGTCAGACTCGGTCTAGAAGTTAATTGTTTCTGCACGCCCGCTATCTGAAGACGAGCTGGGGAACCAGTCTCGAAAACTCACACAATAAAGTTTACTGTTTCCCAAAGAACTCCATCTTCCTAATTATATCTCTTGGGATGCGTGCTTTTCAAACTACAGTATACTATACAAAAAGCTACTGACGAAAAGTACTCATAGCACAAAACCCACCTATCTCTAAGGGCTTTTATGAATCGCAAGAACCAAGTGTACCTCATTCAGGAGTTGAATGCTGGACAGTCTGGCATTACTAGGCCCTTGATTATGAGAACTAAGTTTGTGGCCTAAATATAGTACTTAAATCAAGTACTTGTCAAGCGTCCAGCTGGTGAAATTATATGTGTACCGTTTCGGAACACTTACAAAAGTTGTCCGTGCGTCGTCCATCGTTTTGACACTGAGATGAGGTCTTATCAGGTTCAGTTTGAAAATAAGTTAAGTCAAACACGCGACCTAATACCTACAACGTCAGAGGGGGCGGAGTACTTCAGGTCAACGCTCAGGATAGTTGACACAGATACCTCAGGACAAAAACACTAGGAATCGGGTCTGTCACAAAAGAACAGCTGGAGAGACTCAAATGATTACGCCAAAACAAGGAAATGCTAATTACCAAACCGGACAAAGTTTCTGGTCTCGTTATAATGAACAACAGTGTTTACGTTTCGAAAATCGAAGTTACCCTGACTGATGGCACCATGTGCAAGCGAGAGAGAGGCAAAATAAGGACCAAACTGGGAACCTAGAAATTAAACATGCAAATATCTTCAGAAACTGAAAATCCAAGGTTTCTTTGGTGAACAGAAGTTCGAGGCTCTGACACCCACAGACACAATGCTCCCAAGACTACATGGTTTTCCGGAGATTCACAAACCGGAACCTTCCAGTGCCACCGATATAAGACATGTGCAATTCACAATACCACGCAATCGCAAAGTGGTTGGCGGAAAGGCTCAAGACTACCTTGCAATCGATACCGAAATGACTCGACATCCCAGCGTCCACAGGGAAGTGTTTCGCAGGAGTCGTACAACTGGCAACCTGACAGAAAGATCATGGCATTCCGAGGGTAGTCTTTCCTGTCCACTAGGACTGTGGAATTCCCCGTATCCTCGTCGATCACGCATTCCTCGGTGCGTCGCGTTCGACCCCGTCGAGTACTCTTCCTCGGTTCTGTGAGCCGTGAGGACTGGCAACACTTGGTGCTGAATAAGGTTATTTTATTTCTGCCGTCGCCTCCGTCTAACTGAGGACTGGGTCAATTGCCGAAATCCTGTTGACAATCTTAGTATACGCTGCGCTAAGGGAGCACTCGTTCTGTTAAACCCGCAATTCTTCCTTTACTCGTTCCTTTGACAATGCGCGTTTGCCAATTTTCTGGTCACGGGTGACGTCGGATGTGATGGCTCACGTAACCGGCTCTCCAGTGTTGTCTCGGTTACCGCGGACGTCGATGTGAACTCGTGCACACTTATGTGCTTTAAGAATCATGTGGGTCATTCCTTATCACCTCACCTTCCACTAGATGATTCATTCGGTGCACTGACCTCAGACCGTATGACCCAGTTTTGAGCATGCAAGACCGCAGTGACAGCGCGCAATTTTCCATCAGTCTTACTGACAGGCGTTTTGGATGGCTACTTCTGACTTAGTAACCATCGACTGCCAGGGATGACACAACCCAGGTGCAGGCACACCGGCGCCTTTAACCGGCTTACGTGGGTCGACAGGCGTTGTTTTGGTTAGACGCCCATACCGCTTGAGCTACCCAGGTCTACATGGTTGTCTGAGATCGAAAATATGCAGGGTCGTGTGAGAGAGTGGTGTTGACTGAGCCATGCCGACTGTAGAATGGACAAGAGCTATTCTGGTTTTCCTTGGAGCTGGCGAAGGCAATGGTATAGAGGAGAACCCCACTTAACTGTCAGTAGACTGTGGATCGTGTCATACGTGATTTGTGACAAGGAGAGTTTTACGGGTGTGGCAGCACGCTAGACAATAAGCGGACAAAATGAAAGAAAGCACAGAAATTACCTGGATTTATGCCGGAAGTCTTCTCGGACGCTATTATTCGACAACGGGAACGAGAGTAGTGATAAAAAAATAAACCAAAAAATAGATTTCACCAAATAACGGATTTTGAGTTGAGCTTTGAAGACGTGGGAAATAATCGTTGTTGGCAGTGAAATTCCTGCAACGGCCTGCAAATGTATGTCAAGAGAAAACTCCATATGACACGATCCACAGCCCACCATCAGCTAAGTGGGCTCCTTCGCTTTAACGTTGCCCTGGCGAATCATGTTCGAATGCCTTCTGGTTCAAATTCCGGATGAGACTGTACTACAGCTGTCTGGTGACGTCTCATGGACGAGAAGTTGTTAGTCCGACAATGGGCACCGATGACTAATTTTCGTCACTGTGCAGTGACCTACGTGTACTCCCGATGCAAAACTTCAGTGTACATCGGAAGAGCACCATTTCCATCTTATAATTTTTATAGTTCAGCGAGGGCCATTCTCATGCGGCATTGCGAATATTTCTTCCGCTGTTGGTAGCCGCAACTACTATCGCTGCACAAACTCCCCATCAAAGATTGCCATGTAACTGCGTTGTAGCGAATTTTAGGTACTCTCAACCACAAAATTTGTCTGTAATTACTCATCAGTAGCATTCAGCATGTGAAGATGGGATTAATGGATAGCAGATTATGGCTTCACGAATAGAAGCGAACATGCGAGCTCCAGGTTCTTCTTGTAAAGAAGATGAACGCGTTATCACTGGGACATTACGTGTACTAGTCTGAGCTTTCGGTCTCGTACAGGAGGCCATCATCCACAGGCCTAATATTCCCCTTCTACCGATCGCTGATCTGAAAGGCGGTCCCACTCACAATCTGTCCAGATGGGTGGCCCGAAAACTTCACTTTCTCCGAGAGGGCTTGAGGAACTCCATTAATTCGACCTCCCGGTTGCTAGCCGGCATCCGAGGAAAAACTGTCCGACATGATCGAATTATGGTACCCTTTGACATGATTTCATTATTCACATACATCCCACTGGACCTGGCACGCGAAGTTCTATGCAAACCGCTCGAGGAAAACTAAGACGGATCGAAGAGACCTCTAAAAATCGACCATTTACTTCAACACTTTGCCTTCTGCCAACAAACCTTTTTTTCACTTTCAGGAGCAGAACATACGAGCAGATCAAAGGAACGCCCATGGGTTTATTAATATCCATCGTGGTTGCGGGATTAGCCTTACAGGAGCTGGAAAAATCGCCTTCAACCACGATGAACCTGCGTTTTGGCGCCGGTACGTAGATAAAACGTTCGTTATAACTGGAAAGAGCGGACTAGCAGACTTTCACCACCTGCCTAACGGCATCTTCCCCGACATGAAGTTCAAAAAGGTAGAAGAGCATGCGAATCAGCGCACACATTTCTAAACTGCGCCTTTATTGCTAAGCCCATAACAGCAGAGCTATCCTCCCTTGTCCGCATACTCATACGTCATTATGATCGCCTTTTTAACTACAGTACGTGACCTAACAGAAGAAGGATGTCGAAATTTACGACTGATTGTCAGTCACTCGCAAACCGACAGCAATTAGTGAACCCAATATCTATGTTAATAAGGCAAAACTTTAAAGGAATGAAAAACATAAAATAAATATTAAAGACAATGTTGTATTGTTTCGAAATGCCAATTTTTAGAAAAGCGCAAAATCCTGAAATCGTCGAAAATGTTTGTAACTGTGTAAACTTCGCTTTCAGATGTACAGAATGTCTTCTCATGCAAAAATGAGTACGTATGAAAGTACAAATAGGAAACCTGTTAAAAATAGTGTTTTAGGAAAGTTTACATTTGAGTATTCTTTAAAAAGTAGTGTAATTTCAGGTATGCTGGTTTGCCAGCAGCCTACATCCTAAGTATAAATTACAAAACAGTTTCCCGATGATCCGTCTCATTCTTTATGCTTTTGAATTGATTGATATGCAGTTCAATGAGAAAAGCAGGATCTTGCTTGATTTCACCGATAGGGACGTCATACGAACAAAGGCTTTCATAAGGTCACAGAAATCAGCATATGTAATTGCCCAAATATATCGCGACATCCATTTTCACCCAAATTTATTAAAATTTCGCTTGCAAAAGATTACGTGGACACAATTTCGGCAAGGGATGAGAGGCTGGGTGAGCAAGCAAAATGCGCAACGGTTAAGACGTCCGACGATTCTCACATCAGTTTCTGTCCCCAGGTTTCATGAGATAGGTCACGATAAAAATAAATCCCCATTATGTTGCTGTATGCAATTACCAGCTATCTCCTTTTCAGTGGCTTAATGCCGTACGTTGCCACCGAGATAGTAAGAAAAGTGAGAATACTTCCAAATATATAAATTTTGGGGTAGGTAACGAAACGTCAGCTGAACCGCCGGAGTCCAAGGAGATGAATATGATGAACGTACTGTCGAAGGTATCATTTTATGAGGCTGCTAATTGAATGCTGACGTTCAGCCACGCAAGTACGTAGTAAAATGAGATCGTGCGTTCTGGATGTTAACAGTTCAATCACACAGAATTCTATTCTTCTCGTTTTTAAGTCACTGCTCCTATTTTCACGGGTTTGGCTACTGGATGAACTGGCTCGAACAAATGGGCGATCGTACTGAAGAACAAACACAAAACAGGAGGCTTAAAGGATCATTAGAAAACCTTCTGCAATGTGATTTTGCTTTGGCTTAAAGTATTGTCAGGTATTTGCGGCAGTTAGTCTTCCATACATGGCCGACATGGGCATGATAATGTCCCGCTTCCGAGTGGATCTGGCTTCCAGTGCAAACCGAATGCCAGGTCGGTACTGGAAATGTAGACCCAGCTTAGCCATGACCAGACCCAACCACACATCATCAAGGGGGAGACTGCGAGTGAAGTGCATAGCAATGGCCAGTTCCTCCACCCGCTCGTAACCCAGGAAGTAGAAGGCTCCAGCACTGAAGGGGGGCAGTTGGGGCCAAGGCATCTCACGCTTGGAGAGCGCCCAGTGATTAAACCTCGCATCATTGCCGTAGCGAACGGTTGGAGATCGGGTACGCTCCAGACCGATGACCATGTGCTCTCGCCAGTCTGCCTCCAGACGGGCAAGAAAACGGCGCAGATTTGTCGGATGGAAGGCGTAGTCATCGTCCATGAAGAGGAAGCCGGGTCGTTCAGTTCGACAGAATCTGGCGGCCCACTGGAAGTTGGTCATCATTTTGGTGGTCAGATTATAGTAGGTGTCCTCATAGCCACCTACCAGGACGTCCTTATACTGCAGTACCTCCTCCGTCAGGCGCTGGAGGATGATAGCATGAGTGTTTTCGATGTCAGCGAGAGCCTCTCCGGCTCTGCCGGGTAGGGTAACGTGAAACCCGTCACGTTTGAACGTCTGGTTACCGGATCGTCGTGGCAGACCAACAGAAAAGAGGAGGCCTATTCGGAAGGGGTGGGCACTGGAGACGTTGAAGTCATTAAGGCGCGCGTAGAGACTGCGAAACGTCTTACGGCTCTGGAAGTTGTAAACAGCCGATTTGACAATCACCACCAGGTCATAGTGGGGTCCGGCAGAGTGACCGGTGACAGTTTTCGCATCTTCCACTGGGGGGCAGACCGTTGAGCTGACATGGAGAAGGTGAACTGGGTGATTGTTCGTCGGACTCTGTAAGAAAAGTCAAAAGTGTTCTTAATAGGCAGTGCAAGCTGGGGTTTTGTAGACGCCTAGGGGGGCAGTTCACATGGAGGTGGCAACCACCGATTTTCCCCGAATACAAGGCGAAGTGTGGACTCAGAAGAAGAAGAAGAAGAAGAAGAAGAAGAAGAAGAAGAAGGAGAAGAAGAAGAAGAAGAAGAAGAAGAAGAAGAAGAAGAGGAAGGAGCGATCATCGGAACAAGAAGTTTATTGGTCTGACGTTTCGGACTCTCGCTCGAACCCATCATCAGAGACGGTTGCAGATGAAGGTGGACTATTCCACTTCCTATTGGCGCACAGCACTCTAGCCGCCCACGAGCGGCAAGGACTGATTAACCACCGAGATCGCCAGTAGGAGAACGAGGGCCATCTGAAGTCCTTTCTGTCGCATTAGTTATCACCAGTCGGTTACATCCGAAACTCCCAGCATTTGCGCGCCTCAGACTTGAATTAGGGTTCAATGATTCATCCAAAATTAAGATCCAATCCTTTTACCGCTTAAATAATCAAAATTCCAAGGGTACCCGGAAATGTCTGTTCCTTCCCACAGCCGGGGCCGGTGGTGAACCCCCCTCCCCCCCCCCCGGCTGTGGCTTAATAGCCGCGATGGCAGTCGACAGAACGGCGAGACAGGCGACCCAGTGAAGCCACATCAAAACTTCGGCTGTCTGTTGTATGACTGTCTTATGACGGCTGATCAGCCAGAAGTAGCTATTTAAGTCTCCCTTACTTTGCCGGTGTCGTCGATACTCCGAGAAATGACGCGAAATCCGACAGGCCACAAACAGAATAGACAAGGGCTTACTGACTGCTGCATCTTTAATTGAGTGGCCTCAATTTGGATCAGTCCAGTATATTTGAGGGTAATGAGCAGTGCCTTTTTTCCGTTATCGGCAGTGAATTACAGCCTCTCAAAATGTCCATTCCTGCTAGAAGACCCATTATTGAAGACATTTAACATATAGAGTGTTGGTTCGTGGCATGCATTATTATTGAATGGTAGGGGTTATAATGGTCAGAAGCAGCAGCTTCAGGTTTCGTAGTCAGTGGCTTCCCAGTGCATCCTTTGTGTCGGAGGCTGTTTTGTAGTGTCGATTCCATTCAACTTCATAGAACCCTGTAGCAATAGACGCTTTATTAGTGGAAAAGCCACAACCGCTGCATTCGGTTTGTCCGCTCACACCCTCGTCACCTGGACAGTGGGTCTAAGCCCAAGCCAACCAGTGCCTCTTTTTCTTCGCCATATTTCCCGACTAACAGATAAAGGTATATTTGTAAAACAGAATCGCCGAAAGAAGACAAGAGAGGCTGAAATGACCATCTCTGGCTCATAAGCCGTTGTCATCCAGTCATATCCAATCCAGAAGTTTAAAACACTTGGGACTCGATCCCGCGACCTCTTGGTTAGAAGTCCAACGTCTCTAACCACTGAGCCACGGGCTCGTTGTCCGGTCCGGTTGCAATCGAGAATATGCAATGGTAGAGGGCTGCTTATCGATCGCTTTTACGGAACTTACTCGTCCCTTTATGCCTTAGGGCTCTCTCTCTCTCAAAGTATATTTGTGAACTTCAGTTGTCCGAAACATTTTCAATGTCATTTTCGCGTGTGCCATCGTCAGCTCCCAGTAGTAGGGATTACGAAGTCTTTTCTAGCAAAAGCCTTTTTTCGACGCCCAGGAAAGTAATCGGACAGGTTAGACTGAATCAAGCCAGCATATCTGGGAAGATAAATATGTGGCTGGAGCCTTCGTGTAAGAGTTGCAAATAAGCCATTCGTATGGTGCAAATAGACGCGGCGACTCAAACTTTGCCGCTTGCGACTCTTGCCAAACGCGTTGTTCTTTCTGTTGCAGACAAAGTTTTCACTACAGTTGACCTCTCCGGACAGTGTTTATGGGAGGAAGCAATACGGATACACATTCAGGTTGCATAACCCCATCTCAGGCCGATACACCCATGCACCAGGTCTGCCTGTGGGCGGGGCTTTCCAATGAGGACGAGGAATGGGATCTTTTCGTCAGGTAGAGAACAGAGGGAGGGTTAGGAAAGGAATATTGAAATGACTGATTACGCAAACGGATTCCGTGAGCGCAAAAACCTTCGAGCAGCATTTCCAGTCGTCAAAACTCAAAGATACTTAAACAAGAAGTAAGCGCCCTGAGTCACGAAACGGCAACATCAAAAACACAGTGACAGGAAATAGCATTCCATACAAATTTCCGCATGGCAGAATGCTGACCTTTAAATGAGCGTCTTGTCAGTCAGCTGTGCGAAATACATTCGGCAGAAAACTACTAATACTAATATTAAAATGTATTTCATTGATTTCGGACGCCCATACATACAGGGGCTTGAGTGACGGTCGTACTTTAGCCAGCATAATCATCAGACCAAATAAGGGTTGGCCGGAAAAGACGCAGGATACCCAAAGTTGCGGCTTTATTGAGCACACAAACCTGAGTTGCAGTCTCAAGCAGCGGTGGCAGGCGGCGAGGCCGGGCTGTGTGTTGGCTGTGCTCAGTGTGTTCAGGTGGCGTGTGTTGTATTACTCGAGGAGTGGTGTGCTCCAGTGGGACATGGGGAGGGGGACGTGACCGCATGGACGCAAACGCGTGTCCGGACGGCGGTGAGTGGAATGACTGTAGGTCAGTGCGCCTGTGATAGGTTTAAGTTGGAGGACTGAGAGTTAGGCTGCAGTGACTCCTTCCTAAAGTGGCCTTTATGGCACTCCCTCCCATCGGAATCCGAGCCGGGTGTGGCGGCACGCCTAGGAGCGGTTTCGGTGGCGACAGCCACCGTTCTTGTTTTCTTGGAGTGTAAAAGCCAGAGGCTGTAGAGTACCCATTAACCTCAAACATCGGCCCGGGCGATCACCTGCTACAAATAATCTGACGCCTTCGAAGCTATGACGGCGCTCTAAAAACCATGGCTTGGAATGTTGCTAACTGACGGGATAACTTGGTCCTCAAAGTAGGTACAGTGAGTACTTTGCGGGTTGGGAGACCAACTGGATGTCAGATTGTCAGGCTGCAATGTCTCCTTCTTAATGTGGTCTTTATGGCTGTCCCATTCTGTGGCCTCCGAGCTGGGTATGGCGGCACGCCAAGGAGCGACTACGGCCGTGCCAACCACCTGCGCCCCCCTACACATCCGATATTCTTGAGCATGTCTTGACACCGGGCGCAGGTGGGGGAGGATGAGAGAGTGCGGTAGACGCCGTGCAAGTCTACTATCAATGTGAAAGGGAGAATGCACAAATTACTGTGCCTCCTCTCACCCCGCTGTGGAGCACACGGTGGGCATCATTGGTCACGACGGTCGAATTGTCGATAGGTTTAAGTGGATTCAAACCAGGAGCATTCGTGTTAAAAATGAGTGGGCTTGAGTCCTTTGAGCTCCGAGAATGGGCTGTCGGTTTTAAAAAAAACCTTCGATCTCCCGAATAATTTTAAACTTGACCAGACTGAGCGCTTGCACTAGGTTTTCCAAACTACTGACTGAATACTTTCTACATAAAGAAAATCCTGCATTCTCACCAGCTATTAAGAAGATATCATGTAGGGTTTATAGAATCTCATAGTGGAAATATCCATTTTATATACTTCCCAAGAAGCATTTATGAACGGGCGTATAGGCTTTTGTTTGAATGGACATTGAATAGTGTTACAAAGTCCTATAATTAAAAACACTTTTTTAAAACCGAAAGATGCCCTTCCTCTCAGTATAAAACTTGATGAATACATAATTTACGGAAAAATAACTACAAGAAAGGGTATTTTTGTGAATATTTTCTGTAAATTGTGGTTGAATTTTTAAAGGCATAAACATCAATGGATAACACATACAATACATAGACATTTTTCTCTGAGTGCGGTGTTGGAAGGCGGCCGGAAAGAAATGCTTCCAAATGCCGGAATTCTGGCGCGCCGCAAAATATCCAACACTACAACCCCACCTAAGTTGTCCACTCAAATGGGAAATAGAATTCAGAATTTCAGTTAACATTTCATGAGACATGTCAGGTACATGCATTTTGTCTCTTAATCAAAATCACATTGTCAGGTGGAATTCTTAAAGGAATGGAATATTTTTAGTATATAAGAGTTCGTAATTAGGAGAACTGTCAGGCGCTGGGTTGCTCAAACACGTGGTTTGTTATAGTCGGATTTTCGGGCGTTGTTTACTGCGCATTTAACGCAATGCATGCCTGCTGCAGTGTTGTAAGATCACAGGGGATTTCTCACACAATGAAAGAGAAGTCGAACAGGAAATATATACATCTCGCCCCCCTCCACCAATACTCTGGCGCAGGACCACCTCAAATACCAGAAAGCGGCGACAGATTTTTTTTACGTGTGGAGCCTTTTAAGAAGACGGACAACATGGTTCAGTTCAGTTCAGTTTATTGAGGAAACTAGGCGTAAGCGTTTGAGTACCCTATTTGCAACGTAAACAATGTGTAGTATGCAGGAAAATTTTCTGGGCTGAAATGGTTCATACGAGCCAGAAAAGCACGACAGCGACAGGTATGCTTGTTTTATTGTTTTGAGCTAGATTCAACTCCGCGCAGTAGAAGTGGGCAACGGAAAATCGCGCGGTCTTATGCTTATGCAGCCTCACCGGATGGACACAATACTGTTGGGATTAGGGTAAGGGTTAGGAGTTGGGGCAACTATTTCTCAACCACTCAAAGTACAACCGCGCATTCCCGATAGCTTTTCTTTTGAATGCAACTACTTGACCTCGTCGCCTATGCGTTCCCCGGCCCCATCTGTACAAACTCCTATTACTACCGGTCCCTTATTACAGGTGGCTGGGGTTTGTTTACTTCAGGTGGGGCTACATAACCACATCTGACCGCCTTCGGTAAAGCTGTCATGACCCTGCCTGCTAAAGCCCTTCTGCCACATTTCATACTGTAGGTGGTCTTGCGTCAAAGCGCTGGGTTGGGTTGGGTGGGCGCAGCTTTGCACCCTAAAACGGGTTGCGCGTTAGATGCGCTGGACCAACACAGGGTCTAGATCGGATTCTGGCAAGCATAAAAGTGCCAAGTTTAGGCGGGTAGCAACAGGCCCGGTTGTAGGCTTTCGCCGAGCTAATGGGGATCTGAGCCGCCTGTCCCCCCATCCCACTTTTGTTCTTGTATAAAATCCTGGTCAGTGGTATGCCCATATGCGGGTCTTCTCTGTGCTAACCACCTGCACCCTCTGCCGCCTCCGGTCTTCTTGGCTCTGTCTTGACACCGGCTCCATTTGAGGAGGGAGGCGAGAGTGCGGTGGATGCGGCGGCAGTCTACTATCACTATAAAGTAAATCACGCGCAAGTTAACGTCCCTGCTCTCACCCTGCTGTGGAGCACACTGTGGGGCATCGTCGGTCGAACTGGCACATCCTGGGCGACTCACTACCCCTATTTTTGATGCTGGATTCGAGTGAGAATCCAAAATGACCGTGTCTTCTTCTTCTTCTTCGCGAGTTTTCAGAGCCCCATGTTTAGTCAGAAATTGATGGATAGGACGTGAAGAATCAAGAACCTTTCTTAAGGCAGATTATGATGAATGGGTTACATACACAGTCAGAATGCGCTTGCTCTGAAGCCCTAAGCACATTCCTCCAAAACAGTCTACTTCTGATCCTTCGCAGTCATGCCTATTGGCTGTGTTAAATAATTGCTATTTCATTCGGTAGGATGAAATGCTAAATGGTAAAGTCAAAGAAAGAAATGGGAATTTCTGCGGTGAGACAACAGCAGTTCGACCTTCGTGTCTGACGAGGTCCACCATGTGCTCACAGCAGGGTGAGAGCAGGGACGGCGACTTGCGCGTGATTTACTTCATAGTGGTTTTGGACTTGCGATGCATCTGCTGGACTCTCCCCCCCCTCCCCCACGCGGAGCCCGATGTCAAGACAGAGCCAAGAAGACCAGAGGCCGCCGGAGAAAACCCGCACCTGGGCGTACCATCACACTCCCTGTTTCGCAACAAATATCCATCCCAGGTGACCATGGACACACCGGGCACTGAGCACAAATTTGTGTGGGAAAACACTCGCGTTTTTGGCGTCTACCCAATGAGGAGCGGCCGTGAATTGCTGGGGACAGTACATTCACATGAGGAATGCACAAATCGTGATATATTTTTAGACGCCCCTTACAAATTTCTTAAGGAAAAGTGAACGCCAGCGCAGTCAATGTCGAGGGGATGACAAAATGCAGCCGACGCGCATCAGTGCAGGCTTCAGCCAAACGTAGAATCACCTTTCGACACGGTCAAATAGTTGACTGTTTTTGTACATGATCCATAAGTAAGACGAAGAACTGGGGAGCAGTCTCGAGAACTTGAGCAAAAAAAGTTATTTTGTCCTCAAAAAGTCTTACCTATTTCTAATTAAGTTTCTTGGGATGCCTGTTTTCCAATATTTAGCAAAGTTTTTAAGACCACCGTCCCAGTCACCCGCTATTTCAACCCGAGCAAAAGTTAGAAATAGGACACCATGTAGACTCACCTCCGGCACCCCACGACAGGACTTCACCCTATCAACGACTTCTGACAAGTTCAGGTTCTGCGGATAAAGCAGGTAGACTCGATTGTCCACAGGCAGGCGCCAGAGTCGATCATCAATCTCAACCATATCTTCGAAGGAGAGCAGGCGTGAGCGGATGCCGTGTTTGATCACACTTACGCCTGGAACACGTCCAGTCTCGGGTGCTGAGGCGTTTGAATCGACGTGTACGGTCAGGAAAAGGCGATAACTTCCGTTTACGGTGGCTCGAATAGGAGCATACCAGTCGCTCGCGCATACGGCCGTCTGGTCGGGGGGCTTCCGCGTTGCATTGTGCTTCGTTGAGGTCAGTAGACGCACGACAGCAAGGGCGACGCAGACGAGGAAGAGGAAGATGATGAGGAGACCGTTTCTCAAACGTCGTGGTAGGTTAAGACGCCAACGCGCAAGTACCATTGGCGGCAACGTCATGTCAGGGATTATTGGGACCCAGATCACAGTTCTGGCTCCCTGCCACAAAAGATGCCAGTTACAGTCCCCTCAAAACTTCTTAAAAGTGGTTCTCGGCAGCAGCGTGAAAGTCCGATGGGTTCTTTGCTCGGTTGAAAGTTCCTATTGGCTGGAAAAGAAAACAGTCTACACAGTCGGCTTCTAACCAACCAGCAGACACGAAAATTCAGTCCTAGCACAGAGGCCTGCAGACCTTTGTGTAAACAAGTCACTAAAGTACAATCTCACCCTCGACAAAACACGTTTCCCTACCCAACACAGCGGCGTAAAACTAGACCTGTAAGTCTGACCTGCGCACACCTGTCTTCTGCCTGTCCTCACCGATACAACCTCCTTTATATAGTGACAAAATACGGTGGCGAGTTCCACATCCTCGTTAGTCATAGGCACTCTAAGGGACTATTAAGCTGTCTTCCACCATTCCTCGGTGTGCGCGCCCGCGGCGGGGACGTGAATTGATTTCTTGTTTCAGGCCAGGTGAGCATTCTGCATTGTGCCTTGCGGTGCTACCCGGCGCAGTTGTGGACTTAGGCTAAAAAGGCGTGAAATGTGAAGGAGGAGTAGGAGCAGGAGGTGGAAGAGGGAGAGGAAGAGGAGCAGGAAGGTGAGGAGCAGGAGGAGGAGGAGGAGAAGGAAGGAGAGGAAGA